TGCTCCTCAATCAGTTCATCCATCGCATTCTCATCGTAGTTCTTCCTGCTTGCTTTTCTCCTCAACGTCCTCCTCGGAGCCGCTCCTTCCGACGCCGGAGTTTCCATTTTTTCCCCAAATTACCTCCGCTACGCTTTTTCAGAAACACATTAACCCTAATCCCATCAGCGTTTCACACCCTAATCTCTAATTGTTTCATCACCTCCAACGATTCTTGAATTTCTTTTCACTAACTTGCCTAATTGATCGGAGAAAACCGCCGGTAAATCTTGCAGAACGGAAGGGATTCGCTTTCTCCGATCCTCCCTCAGTCGCGATTCTTGAACCCGCGCGTTAGCGTGATTGCAAGGGAAAAAGACGGTTCTGGGTCTACATTGTAATGGGCCTTGGTAAATATAAATATAGGCCCATGGGGCTTATTACTTTACTACTGAACAGTGGAGAAATTAATAATATAGTGTGTTACAATTTGTGGATGGTATATTTATATGATTGTATAGATACGTTACATACACAAAGTGATGTAGCCTAATGTCGAAGATAAAGAGAACATGCAAAATTAATAATGTAGGGTCATTGTCTCTTCATTTCATCACATTATGAAAGAATTGACATTTCGGTCCGATTCATATTATATCTCACATGGCCTTTCCACATCTCTCTACTCACATGTCATTTATTTTGTGATCCCAATTCTGGGATCATTCAGACACAAAGATCTTAAACCTTATCCATCTTATGGTGAATCTCTTTCTACCATACATAAGGTAATAAAACTGAAGTTTAAAATAGAAAAACAAGTGTGTTTAAATTTTTTTGTGCAGGTATGTTAAAACTCGGTGACTTTTATTAGAACGTAAGATTTCTAATCATGTGTTCATGGAGTAGACGCATATATCATATATGATGATTGGACAGTTTCTACTTTCTACATATGTGCAGGTGTACCTGTATAAAGCGTAATTATCATAATGTGCTGAAGTTGAAAGTATAATTGTAATGATGGTTATATAAGATACCTTTTTAATGCTAAAAGTTGTACACTTTGGACCTCTGCATGGGTAAGAAATATATTGGTTGCAGCAAGTTGAAGCTCGAAAATGGCATGTAGTGGACCCCTTTTTCATTGTTTCCTACAGTAGTTTTACATCATAATCTATACATATATATGGCCACGTTAACGTGTGTGTCTAATGTCTATATATATCGTAACGCGGACTGAAGCATATTATTATGCAAAACTGTTGTCTCGGATTATACCCTTTTTATTGAAATTTTGAGTTTCTGTTATTAAATTTGTTCCTTTTTTTTTTAATTGGGTAAATGGTTTATATTACAACGGCCCTTAGAACATCCGCAGTCTCCACAAGCGTCTTTAGTAATTTTTTTGATTAAAAAAATGAATACAGAAAGGAAATAGGCTGAAGACGTTTCTTAAATGAGGACTGGTAAAAACGTTTTTTCTTAAACACGTGACACTTTTAATATTAAACAAATAAATAAGAGATTAAAGTGAGTTTCTGCGTTGCGGATGCTCTAAGTGAGTTTATAACGACCGGACCGAAAACAAAAACAAAAAAGTTTATAGCGACTGGAAATTAATTATGGACGTTCGTGGTACAATAATTAATAATTTCACTTGCATTACATTTTTTTTTGTCAACACATTACATTTATTTATTTATTGGTTATTACTCAAAATGATCATAAATGAAGGTTACCGTTCTGGAGAGATTTAATGCACATTTTTTCCTCGAAACTGAAGAACACATAACCTAAATCAATACGCAACCTCGGAACAAAAAATAGTATTAATGACGGAAGAGACAATTCACATCGCCCAATTCCTTGAGTCATCATTCGAGGTATATTTGTAAAAATTAAGAGGAAAACAAAAATCATAAAAAAAAAAATGACAAAAAACAAGAGAGTTATGAATTTAAAAATTGCAAAGGCAAAACCTCCAATTTGGAAGTAAACACGGACCTAGAGCATAGTGCGAATGCGATTCTATGTTTTTTTGTTTGCATATTCATTTGGTGGTATACGAATAAGTCAATAATGCATATGTTTTTGTTTTACACAACTATACTTTTTAAAAATTGAAAGAGTAAGAGACTATTGTCCAATTCAACGGATAGGTCGCCAGGAATCTAATTTAGCATAGGTTACGAGCTAAGCGATTAAATCTAGGGTCATTGTCTCTAAACTTCTGATGTTGTGACCGATTAATTAAGTATGCATAGTAGCGAATACAACAAAACATTGTCCTATTAAAACGTGCATATGAGTTTCTTAATGAGAAATGCCTCGCACGATGCACTAAAATTTAAACTAAATTATATTATTGCTATGTCGTTTAAGAAAATATCACCGCATAAACTATCGAACTTCGTTACTTATTTATTTCTGTATAAAAGAGGTTCGTATAATGTTGTCAGCGTAACAATGTCGTGTTTGTGTTCAAATTAAACCGTTGAGATTTTTTCTAACAAGAAAAATAGAATTAGCTGTACAAGAAAAATAGAATTAGCTGTACACATTTAATCGTGGCATTTTTGGTTGATAAGATAATGTTATATAATTTGGTAGATAATTTCTTAGGTTAGTTGGACAAACTATTCCTTATTAAGACTTAAAATGAAGTCGAGGACTCGAGAACAGGAGACAGAGACAAGGTACCATTTGAAAAGTGGGCTAACAGGTTTATTCGTTTACTACTTTAAATATATATAACAATTCTCTTGTTACTATCAAATTTTAGTAATCACTATTCACCAGCGATTTTGTTAGCATGAGATTAATAAAGTTAATTGTCTTTGCGTACATGCTCGTGTCGGCACCTAAACCCGAGCTAAAAACCGTCACTAAGAAATTATTATTATTTAATTAGAATTCTTAATCCATGAATAATGATATTATACAATAACGTATATAGTTGCTGGCACGAAAAATCTAAAATATTGATATAGAATAGTTATTGTATGGGTGGTAGTGTGACTGATTGAAGCTGTGACGGCATTGGCCGCCGTTGATGATGTGTCCCGTGACGGTGACTGAGCTAACGTAAAATGACGTCTAGGACCCACAAACACAAATGCATTAACGCTTAACGAAACTAATTAACCTCACCAAAACACTAATCAGATTCAAACTAATTACATTGAAATATCTTCTCAAAAGCATTTGGAGTCCAACAGGTATCTAACATGTTCGTAAATCATTAATTTCTTTTTATTTTTCATTCAGACATATCGTGGGATCATGCGTCGTGGAATAGAGGACCACATGATTCGAAGATTTAAATTATTTGAAAATTTTGTAATTAGGAAAAGAGTGAAAAAAATGGGGGTGAATTAGAGAGATAATGATTAGAAGGATGGTGTTGGGTTGGACGGGCCCAGGAGGGTTTACTACATGACACCGAGCCCTGAACTACCTGTGATTGTGCTCTGTTCTATACTTGCACCTTTTGGACCATTTCTTTTTTTTTTTTTGTCTCTTGCACATATAATCTTAACCTTAATTTTCTTTATAATCCGATCCCATTTATTACTCTTTATTTGAAGTTATGCAAAGCCAATAACAGGTTTAACAAGTAATTTGTATTCTTTTTTATAAACAAGAAATGTTGCCTCGTGTTTTTTGGGTTAAAAGCCTCCTTTAGTTTTGAACGGTTCTTAAGTTTAGCTTAGTTTATTCTAGTATTTTAAACAAACTTTCAAATTTAAATCAGATTTGTCGGCTGTGACTACGTACTTGTTCAGAAAATTACGTTTAGAGATAGAGACTACTTTGATTTAAATTTATCATAAACAACGACGACGTTTACCGTTTCCCGAGATGACAAAACCATGGTATGTCAACTTTGAGATTTTTGGTCATCGAGAGGGTATTTAGGAGAACTAAAACTAAGGTCACAAAGCAACAAAATTTAAATTCAAACTAAAGAGTTCAAAAAGGGTAAAGAACAAAACTGGTTATCTTTCAGTTCAAGCAATATTCGAACTAATCAAGTTCAAAATTCATGTTATTAGGAACAGATTTTTATATCAGTATCTTTGAAATATATAAAAATAGTACTGTCCTCTTTCTCATAATATATTGTGAGTACATGTATGCAATTTAACGATCTTTTATGTTTTATGTTTTATATTTTATATTGCATTTGCCTACAAGCAAAACACCCTTAAGAAAGAAAACAAAACAAATTCGGAGATTAGTGTATGACCCTCACTAACCCTAGTATAACTGTATGAAATTTTTTGAGTTTTCACTTTTCAGATTGGGACATATATAGGTCTAATGACTTTCCAAAGTCTAAACTAATAGGGACCAATTCTCTCCAAAGTCCAAATGCTCGACCTATTGGTATTGGTATGTTATTAAAGTCATCTCTAACCAATTGAAAATCAAACGAGAAGAATCATCTAATTAGCTGAATTAATATCGCGAGCCAAATGTTTGATGATTGGTCTCATCTAACCAATTGTTCCCAACATATAGTTAAAGTAACCAGTACAGTTGGATATTATAATCAATGTTTGGATTAAAACTTTAAGCTGAAATCATTCAAAGTTTCAAACTAGATAATATTATTATAACTATTTATTTAAAAAGCTGAAACATATTTTTATTGTATTTTTGTGAAATCATGGAAAAAAAGGGAGCAGCATTGGAAAAGACACAAAAGATAATGAGCTACATTATTAGTAGTAGTAGTAGAAGATAGTAATTTTGGTGTTATTTCAAAGCACACAGTACATCATAAGTAGAGTCTAGCTAGAGAAGAAAAACCAAAAACCCTATAAAAAAAAAAAAAGCTGTTTTAACATTTTTTCGCGGTTTTCTCTGCATTCTCTCTTGTTTCTCTCTGAAAGGCGTGCTTTGATGTGAAAGGAGAAGAAGCTTGAAGACAGACAAAATCAATTGGCGAAATCAATGCTTCTGGTAAGATCATTTTCTTAAAATTGTTGTGTTCTTCTTCCCCGTCTGGTCTCACTCCATCGTCTCTCTCTCTCTCTCTTTATCTATTTGCTTGAATCGTTTTCATGGTGGTGAAATTCATGAGAGCTTAGCTAGTAAATTTTTGTCTCGTAACATTATTATAATGTTCTTGTTCCTCTGGCTGTTTGTGATAAATTATTAAATAATACATATGTATGTATGGATGTATCTATCGGTCGTTCTTATTGGTTTATCTATCGTAGAATCGCTGGGAAAATTCCTTAATTGTTCTCATGAAATTGTTTTTTAAGAAATCTTCAGTCAAACTTGGTTTCTTCTTCTTCTTCTTCTTGTTCTAATTTCAGTATTCATCTGAAGGATTTTGAGGTTTTATTCTCCATCCATTTTCAGCGTCTTTCTCTCTTTGATTCTTCAATCACAATCTTCCGTATCAATATCGTTTACTCTTTGTCTATTGCAGATGGTATTTTGAAGTTTGAGACAAATTTTGAGCAATCTCTCGGGTCTTGTTTGCTAAGTGGATTTCGCTCTTTTTGTTCGTTTGTTGTTGTTGCTGTCAGATCCAAAAATTAAGAGGCTGTAAAGGCTTTGACTCAGTGATTTGACAAAAGGGAAGAAGATAACGAAAGGTTGGGAGAAAAAAGGTCCATCAAGTGATTGGATTTTGAGATGATAGGTATCTACTTGGTCACTTTTGCTTTACCAGCACCAAATTATTAGTTTATTATTGGGAGATTTTGGGATCTTGGAGTTGAATCCTTTGGGGAATCAGAATCGTCTTGGTGTGGTGGGTTTGTGTACTGTGCTCTAAAGTTTCTTGTGATTCATTGGAGAGAAGGTCTTGTCATCTCGGTGGGTTTTGTTTTCATCTGCAAGGTCTTACTGGAATGACTATTCGAGGAGACAGTCTTTGGTTCTTGTCTTGATTCAAACTTGGTGGGGGCAGCTAAATAATGCAAAGCTAAAATCGTGGTATCTTCCAGAATCTTGTGAGCCTATCTCTCTCCAAGAAAGTACAATTTCTCTGAGCATCGTGTTATAAAGAGAAACAAAAAGAGGGTCAAGAAAATTTCTTGCATTCTCTTCTCTTCTCTTCTATCTTCTCTTCGTTCTCTCTCTCTCTGGAATTGCATTCTTAAATGAGTCGAGTACAGAAGCGAGGGAAGCAGGAAAAGCCTGTGTCTGATGGGGCTGAAAAGGTTATCGTGGCTGTTAAAGCGTCTAGGGAGATTCCAAAGACAGCCTTGATTTGGGCTTTGACTCATGTTGTTCAGCCTGGGGATTGCATAACGCTGATTGTTGTTGTCCCTTCTCAGAATTCCGGTACTTTTCTTGCTGCGTTTTTTTTTTGTGTGTTGATTTTAGCTTCTCGTTGTATCGAATGTTGTTCTGGTCTTTTATGTTTGTTCTGGAATTTTGGTGTTTAGTTTGTTGTGTCTATCCCTTACCTAGTGTGCTTTATGGTGAATGTGTAGGAAGAAAACTTTGGGGTTTCACTAAAAGCTTTCCTATGTTTGCTGGGGATTGTGCAAGTGGTCATCGGAAATCACATTCTGAAGCACTACCAGAGATCAAGAGTGATCTCACTGACACTTGTTCCCAAATGATTCTCCAGCTTCATGATGTTTATGATCCGAATAAGGTTGGCTCTCTAGGCAGGCATGTTTAGCTATGATGATCCTGCGAAAGCATGACATGTTTTCTCATGTTAATTTTATTGTTGTTGTTGTTGTTGTTTGTGATTGGTTTGAAGATAAATGTCAAGATTAAGATTGTTTCTGGATCACCCTGCGGAGCAGTTGCTGCTGAGTCGAAGAAAGCGCAAGCAAATTGGGTAGTACTGGACAAGTAAGAATCTACTTTTATATAAACTGTGTTCTTTTTTCCATTTAGTTTTATCAACATTACATGAGTAAATAAATCTCTTAGTGATGGGTTTGAACAAACATATTTACTTTCAAACAATTTACACCATGTTGCTGTGTCGTTTGTTTTACAGACACCTCAAGCACGAAGAGAAACGGTGTATGGATGAATTGCAGTGTAACATTGTGGTGATGAAGCGTTCTCAGGCAAAAGTTCTGCGCTTGAATTTGGTTGGATCACCGAAGAAGGATACTGAAAAGGAGTCTCTTTTACCAACTGGACAAGAAGCAGCATCTGAACAACACACAAAGAACACAAAAGGATCATTAGATTCTGATAGAGGACTACCTGTAACTCCTACTAGCAGCCCTGAGCTGGGGACACCATTCACAAGTACAGAAGCTGGGACTTCGTCAGTGTCGAGCTCTGACCCGGGAACTTCACCGTTTTTCACTTTGGGGATGAGTGGATACATGAAGAAGGATGGGGCATTGGTCATCAAGGAGAATGATGATTCCGGCTCTGAAACAGAGAGCGAAAATCAATCACTAGCGTCGACTAGTATGAGATTCCAGCCATGGATATCAGAATATATTGGCACCCATCGCCATTCATCGCAGGAGTCCGAGGAAAGCTTATGGAAAAATGATGATAGGGCTCAAATATCCACTACAAAGGCTTTGCTAGAGAAGTTCTCTAAACTGGATGTAGAAGCTGGGTTGTCATCTAGTCGAAGAATTGATCTGGAGTTTAGTGGAAACGTAAGAGATGCAATATCGCTCTCTCGAAATGCTCCTCCTGGCCCGCCTCCTCTCTGTTCTATCTGCCAGCACAAGGCGCCAGTATTTGGGAAACCTCCAAGGCTGTTTTCATACGCCGAGTTAGAGCTTGCAACTGGTGGGTTTTCACAGGCTAACTTTTTGGCTGAGGGTGGATATGGATCTGTTCATCGGGGTGTACTACCGGAAGGCCAGGTAGTTGCAGTGAAGCAACACAAACTGGCCAGTTCTCAAGGAGATGTAGAGTTTTGCTCCGAAGTGGAAGTTCTCAGCTGTGCTCAGCACAGAAACGTAGTTATGCTAATTGGTTTCTGCATTGAAGACAGCAGACGGCTCTTGGTCTATGAATACATATGCAATGGTTCACTTGACTCCCATTTATACGGTAATATTGCCTAAAAATTCCATTTGAGCTCTTTGTTGTAGAGAATGTTTGCTCAGTATCAAGGCCTTGTCCAGGTCGCCAAAGGGAAACACTGGAATGGCCAGCACGGCAAAAGATTGCTGTTGGAGCTGCAAGAGGTCTTCGGTATCTTCACGAAGAGTGCAGAGTTGGCTGTATTGTCCACAGAGACATGCGTCCTAACAACATCCTCATCACTCATGATAATGAGCCTCTGGTATATACAAAATGACCTTTGCTCGTTCATTGTAACAATACATGTTGTTACACATGCTCTTTGGTCCTAAGTCAGCTTTTTTATTCTATCAGGTTGGAGATTTTGGCCTAGCGAGATGGCAGCCTGATGGGGAACTGGGTGTAGAAACACGAGTGATAGGAACGTTCGGGTGAGACATCAACTAAAGCTATCATTTTCTTTCAAAAAAGTTGAACAATTTTTCTGTTAATAAAGGAAAGTACATTGTGGATGTGCAGATATTTAGCTCCAGAATATGCTCAAAGCGGGCAGATCACAGAAAAAGCGGATGTCTACTCGTTCGGGGTTGTTCTAGTTGAGCTAGTAACTGGCCGCAAAGCCATTGATATCTCCAGGCCGAAAGGCCAGCAATGCCTCACTGAATGGGTAATGAACTCACATCTTAACTTTTCAGCAAAGTAATAGAACTGATGCTTGTTTTGATCACAGGCACGTCCGCTACTGGAAGAATATGCGGTAGAAGAACTTGTAGATCCGAGGCTTGGGAACCGTTATGTAGAGAGTGAGGTCATTTGTATGCTTCATGCAGCTTCGTTGTGCATACGTAGAGATCCACATTTGAGGCCACGCATGTCTCAGGTAATCAAAATTAACCCTTGAAACCACTCATCAGTCTCAGGATGATTCAAAGTTTATGATATTAAAACGTATGGTCAATATTACAGGTGTTGCGTATACTGGAAGGAGATATGATAATGGATGGGAACTACGGATCAACTCCGGGTTCAGAGACAGGCAACAGAAGCGGGCGGTTCTGGGCTGATCATTACAGTGGTCAGCTAACCAATGATGGGTCGGATAGGTTCAGTGAAAGGCTGTCAACTGAAACGCCAAGACTAGCTCTACGGGAGAGGGAAAGAGGTCAGAGATTGGAACTAAGCCACATTAAGCATTACTAAGATTAAGAAAATCATAACTGTCTTATGAAAAAGTGTAGTTGATAGGGTATTAAGTAAAGTCCCCTGTTTTAAGTAATGTGGTTCAAAGCTGACAAGAAAGCTTTTTTGACCTTTTTTGGTTGTATAGTGGGTAAGATGCTAAAATATGATATTAAGGGATTTTAAAATTGTTTTATTCAAAACACAAAACAACAAGAGGCTTTTTCTTCTTTTGAATTTGAATTTGAATTATATTGGGTTTAGACTTTAGAGTCGAAAGAAGTGTTTTGCGGATGAGAGGGGAACAAGAGAAAACATAACAATGAGGGCTTCCCTTACTCGCACGACATCGGAAGTCTGAAAATGTAATAATGATGGATGAGAGAGAGAAGTCATATCTGACTTGCCTGTCAATACAGTGATGCATTGGGTCCTAAGGGTATCTTTTCTACTTATCCGCATCACCAATTTACAACTTTCTCATTGATCAAAAATATATGCACACAAGAAAAGCCCAAAACTGGCGATGACTTTGGTGGGGGCAGTGATAAAATGACGTTTCAGAGATCCCATGGACTTTTTTGTTCACTTCCCCTGGACCATGACAAGATCAAGAACTTGATTTTCTCTGTCTAAAATATAATCCTCTGCGTGCGCTTAAAAAATAGATCCACCATAAGATTTTAGAGATGTTAATAGTAGTAGAATAAATATTAAGAATCTTGGAGTCTTCAATATATTATATATACATATATTTTTGAGTGTCAGCATAGAAGATGATCCATCTTCATGACAACAAATAGTAAGCGGAGATTTAGATAAAAAAATAAAAGCTCTCATTTTCTTATGATCTCTAAATCAGTTTTGAGAAGAGAATACCACTGGCCTGTGATACATTAAACGACCATATTCTCTATTTCTAAAATGAGGCTCAGTAGTTATGAGAATCATCTACTGTTTCCTCATCTTCGATCTTGCATATCTGGAAGAAACAAGAACAAGAGCGTGACACTGGTTTAGCTGTGATGACCATGAGTGTAATAATCTGGCAAGATGTGCAAATTTTAAAGTAACCAGAATATGTAAGAAAAAGAAACTCCTCTTACTCTATATGCATGCCGCCTCGGTCTGAAGACGATAAAAGGTTTCCTTGAAGATCATTCATGACATCAGTAGCTTGTTCGATTTCCTGTAATTGGACAGTATAAGCATATATATAGACTACAAAGACAAAATCATCAGCATGTATTAACAATTTATTACCTCAAAATCAGCAAATGCAACAGGCATTCCACCTCTTGCTCGGATTTTTAGGATGTTGAATCCAGGATATCTGTAAGGATAGGTATCATCACAGATCAACTGATTTTTCGGAAAGGCAAAACGATGTTATGTCAAGAAATATGCAAATTCTAATGGTTGAACATCAAAACCAATGCATAATGTTACCTAGATAGGAGTTGTTTAAGTTCATCCTCTGTACAATTAGGCCCTAGATTAGCTATAAACAAGGTAGAACATGGTCGAGCACCAGAACCTCCTTCGGGTACTTTTTCCAAGTGCCCCTGTGGAAATGTGTCAATAAGCCATTGAACCATAAGCAAGTCTATATGGAGGTAACTTATTAGTAACAGTGAAAACTTTAATAATCTTCAACAAATTAAGGAAAGAGAGATAGCAACTGGTTGAAAGATTAGATTTGGCTTGTACTTACACTGCCAGGCGGTGCTTTACTATCTGCATCAGAGTCCGCCTCACTGTAAATTAGCATGGAAATCAATATACATTGTACATAGAGTACTACAAAATCAAGCTACTAAATACCCTTTTTCCACCTTTTGGCATAATCGTTTTCCTTTGGAGAATCGATATTTCCAGGTTCTTGCGCCTCATCAGGGTCGATTTCCTCTAGATGTATCAAAGATCAAGCAGAAACATGAAGCACGCATTTAAGAGATTAAGAATTCACAAGGTGTGGTTAGAACATTACCTTCATCACTCTGGTCGTCCTGAGACTTAGACGATTTCTGGTTTCTGTTATCGATTACAACATAAGGCCCACTTCCTAGAGACTCAAACGGATTACTCATCGATTCTCTAACATAGTTACTCAATAGAAAGAACAGAGTAAAGGTCCATATACCCGGCCTTTCTTTTCTTCTAGAGTTTGATCTAGCTAGTTCAATATGTAGAGTTGATCCTGTTTGAGGATCAAATTTCACACCCTGTAGATAAGTTTCCGCACAATGAAAATTCAGTATTATTTACAAACAAGAAAATTCCCAGAAGAAATGTAACAACATCACTATTGAGTCACCAATTCGAATCGAAGTGAAGCTTACATTTAGCTCATTCATTGCAGCCATCGCGAATCCATGACTCGAGAATGTTGCAAATGCAACAACCTTAAATACCCAGAATAAAAAAAAAAGGAAAGTACTTTCAAAAGCTTATACCTCGATATAATCAGAAAGTATAGAGCTTTTCTCAAAATGGAAATCAACAAGTTTTGGGAAGGATTACAAAACCTGGTCGCCGCGTCCAGTGTACTTGAGCTGACAAGACTCGAATCCGGGACGACGCCGGAAAAGATTGTGGATCTCACGAGCCTTGACGTCGTCAGGCAAGCCAGAGACAAAGAGCGTGTTAATCGCCCCAGGTTCGTCGGAGAACTGTGGCAGCGGCGGCGGAAGAGGATGGGTATGAGAATGAGGATGATAGACGTAGTAGGGATCGTACGGTTGGTGATACGCCATTTTTGTTTCTCTGGACGGCGGCGAGTTTTGACGGTGGTAATAAGCGCCGGCGAACGGAGCTGACGTGTAAATGGATGTGTGACACAGTGTCTAAAAATATAAAATATCGTTGACGTCCTTTAGGAATTGTTTGAGTTGAGATTATTGGGCTTCAATGAAAGGCCCGAAAATATTCAAATTATATAGTAAGGCGATTTTTGTGCTTCAAATCATTCAACTTAGAAAATCTTAAATCATTTCTTTCATCGATAGAGAATTTTCATTAGCATTTGAACTTTAAAGGGTTCAACGAAATGTACCGGCATGAATTTGTGGGTCCCCGGACTCTTTTTGTTGTGTTACTCAAACCAAAAATTTGTATTGTATATAAGCAAATGAATACATCTTTACAATCGTATTTGAGTGTATATAATATGTTGATGACTCATTTTCTTTAGAAAAATTCATCTCAAAAGAGATCCATAATTGGAGACAAGACGATTTTTTCCCGACGAAATAGTTGAGAAAAGATAACCCGAAAAAAAAAGTTGATAAAATTACGCAGGTTATCAAATAAAAAAGAAACAAAATTTCTATTTGTGAGCTAGCTAGTTCTGGAGTATTTTTAGTTGAAAATCTTCAGCGTAAATTATAAAAGATGAGTTATACTATATGCTATAAACAAAATTATATGGTAAAAACTCTAGATTTATGTAGCAAATTTACGGTATATTATATCTTGCAGCATTTGTTATTGAAAACTACTAATATATATTAATTAACAACACTATTATAGATGTAATAAAAGAACACTAAATTAAACATTGTAAACTAAATATATAATTAATATTGAGATGTAGAGAAAAAGTATCAACTCAACTTGGGAGATATGAAATTTTCAATGATGTTATTATTTTTTAAACTGTAACAATGTAGGTAGCTCCTAACTGGTAACGTCCGTCCCCCTAAACAAAACTAAAAAAAAAAAAGAAAAAAAAAAAGAGAGGGAATGAGATAGTCCCAATTTCAAGAAATCACAGTCGTCGCGGCCTCTTCTTGGTCCAAGAAGAGATCCTCCGTCTTCCTAACCAACTCATGGATCAGAATCAGCACAGTTCCGACCAAACACGCCCGATGATTATCTTGTAGGACGTCGCGTTGGTCAACAAGAGGAAAGGGACAGTTATCAACGTTAAACAAAACAAGACCGCCCGATCGTTGACCTGATACCGGAACAACTTGATAGGCTCATCACGGAGGAAATAGAGGAAGAACCATAGAAAAATCAATACGGTGAAGATGATGAGCGGGATCGGTTTCTTGATAAGACTAACGAAGATGAAGATGAAGATGACGATCATGACCACGATCATGTAATTCACCTGGAAGTACACTCTGTTCGTTTCGATTCTTGAGGAAGCATCTAGAAGCTGCGTGGAAGCCCCATGGAGTGGAAATCGAACATCACTCTCCAAGGGCGGCGCGTGGGATGTCCGGCTTTGTTACGTTGCTCGGCGCCTGAGTTGGACTCGAGATCCACATGCACCGGTGAAGCATGAGACGACGACGTTTGAATCGCGCCCTAGTTCGTTTGTTTGTTATTATTATTATTGTCGTGTTTGAGATTGGAGAGAGGACTAAATGTAAAATAATGAAAGACTGTTATATGCATATGCATGATTTAGGTGATGCACATTTGCGTACCGTGTTTAGTATTCAAGTTGAAATTTATGTTTAGGAAATGAATAAGATTGTTTGACCAACAAAAAAAAGAATTGAACGAGATTGATGATTGATTATATTAGATCGTGGTTGTTTCCCACAACATTACATTAGTCAGTAGTGTAGCGTGAGGATTTGATTCACTGTTTGGTCAATGTCTAAAAGTTATAAATTTAGATTGTCTAGAGTTGAGCAACAAACATCTTACTATTAATTCAAGAAAGAAACTTCAAGCCAAAAAACAACAACTTATTTTCAAGCTTTTTCAACTTTGTTTTTTTTTTCGTTTTTAATTTGAAAACGTTAGTAAAGAATTCGTTGGATAAATTTAACAATAAATACAACATACGAGTATTAGATTTCTAAAAAAATAATATCATTTTATATTTCTTAAAACATCAAATAAATCATACTGTACTAGTATAAAATATATTTCATTTTGTTCTACATCATTTTAAACGGAAGAACAAACTTCCCAACTTTTTTTTTTTACATACAATTAAGTGGAATAAGTCAAACTAGTATTTATAATTTGTTTTGATATTTATTACTATTTTTTAGAGAAAAATCTTATGAGTAACTTGAGAGAAGATAGAAAGTTGATAAAACTAGGGAAGCAGCCTGGCAAAGAAAGAGAAACAAACCAAAAAAAGAAAGCGAAGACTTGACATTATTGAGCTAGTTCTAGAAATTGAGAAATCAATTGTTTATGTTATTTTTCGGCGGATTAGTCCAAAATCCAGATGATTCCTAATTTTAGTTTAAAATCTTTCAGATCGTATTTCATTACATCAATCCTCAAAAAGAAAACTCACACCGATAAAATTTTAAATTATTACATGATAAACAACAATATAAAAGGAAATATACAAAAAAGAAGCATTAAAGATCGATAATAATCGATTTAAGACGAGGGGTATGACGTCAGCCCAGAAGTCTCAGCCGTGGCCGCCTCTTCATCCAAGAAAAGATCCTCCGTCTTCCTAACCACCGCATGGATCAAAATCAGCACAGCTCCGACCAAACACGCACCGACGATGTTCAACGTCGCGTTGGTCAAGAACAGCAGAATGATGGTTAACAACGTCAGAGAAAGCAAGACCGTCCGATCGTCGATCTGATACCGGAAAAGCTTGATAGGCTCGTCACGGAGGAAGTAAAGGAAGACCCACACGAAGACCAACACGGTCAAGACGATGAGCGACGTCGGATGCTTGATAAGGCCGAGGAAGAGGACGATCAATACGACGATCGCGTAATTCGTCTGGAAATAGACGAGGTTCTTCTTGATCCCGGAGAAAGCGTCGGAGACGCCGCCGCGAGGGATTCCCATGGAGTGGAAATCGAACATCACTCTCCATGGCCGGCGCGTGGCTAGACCGGCTTTGATACGTTGCTTGGCGCGTGAGATTGACTCGTGATCCACCACCGGCGAAGCATGAGACGACGTCGGAATCGAGCCGTAGTTCGTCATTTATTTATTTTATTTATAATTATCGGTTGCGAGATCGAACAAGAACAGAGGACTAAATGGAAAAATATTGCAATATAAATTGGGCACTGTTGTTATAAGGGAGGTCTCTTGGATTAGGTGATACACATTAGTTGAAATGATGTGTGTTATGGAATAAAAACAAAACTAATTAGATCATATTTTTATAAAACAAATTAGATCGTGGAGGAAGATGTGATAATATTACAATAGTGTAGCGTGGAGATTTGATTTACTTTTTTGGTCAATGTCTGAAAATTATAAAATTAGATTTCCAAGATTTGAGCAAGCAGGAACATACTGTAAATTGTAATTAGTAGTAATCACTTGTTGGTTAAAAGGGTTAAAAAAATTAAAGAGTTTGATAAAGTAACAGCGACACTGACAGCCCACGGAGACACCGAGTGAGATGAATTATTGAATTGTCCTACAGTATACACGTGGACCCATTCCAGAGGAGCCTCTCTGGCATATAGTTACTGTTTCTCCACGTGTCATGTCGGCAAGTACATGAGTAAACAATATTTACGATTATAATCCCCTGTACTTTGTCATGATATAATTTAGCTCCAATTGTTTTCATTTACATAATTTGTGACCCAATTACAGACGAAATTACAACATAAGCTCAGAACTGACACTTCCCATGTATCTAAACCAGACGGTCCAAACGTATATGTAAACCCTGAACCTTCCCACCTTGGTAAAGAACATGCAAAAAATATATCGAATAGAGTATAATAGATATAATCATATCAAACCAAAACCTAGACTTTCCCAATTTCCCCTCAGACGAGCTGGACTTTCGAGCTGGACTGATAATGATCACAGTTCAGCATAGACAATCCGAGTTTTCTCAGCAACCAGATGGGGAAATAACAAATAAGACATGAATATTAAGTTCTCCAAAATTTTAAATTGTTAATTAACACCAAATATCAGAACCTTTTTCTATTGTACCTTGTTCTCTTCAATTAGTCTTTGAAATTTCACAAAGAAAAAAAAACCAAAAAAAAATAAACTGTCTACGGAAAACGACGTCGTCTCCTAGAGCGGCTTTGTAATTTCATTAGATTTTGGGCTTTTACAAATAATCCTACTTATGGGCCTATGAGTGAACCCATTTCATTTGCGCAACGTATCAAGAGATCATGTATCAGGAGTTCATCTTTCTCTTTTTTTTTTTTTTTTTTTTTTGGTCAATCATCATTATCTAAATTCGCAATGTTATTGTGATTTCTACGGTGAAAATTAAAACGTGCTCGAAATTAAAAGAAAATGTTTAACTGAAATTATTGGTTGGTGTTGGGGTGATGATTTTGGCTGTTAGTGATGTTCAGTGAAAACAACCTTTCTTGTCTTGTTACCTTTAAATTAATTTGAGTGGGTTGTTATGTTAATTACATCAACTTACCTCATTGGAGGATATGGACTATCACTTCCTTAACCACTATTATTATATAAAACATCTAAATTATTGGGCCAAAAGGTTGTCCCTTAACTTTCATTATTTCAAAACCCCACAATAATTCATCAAATCAGAGACTAGCTTAGAACTCACTAACTCAGAACTTGGGTACAACTTTTAGAAGTTACAAAACAAATTATTGAAGATTAAAACATCCAACGCGGGTCGCAAGAACCATACGAGTGATCGTAAATCGATCAAATCCCTCTTTGAAGGGAATAAGAAGGAAAAAAAAAAACAAAAGGCAGAGAAAAAAGAAGAATGCAAGACGCGAGCAGTTTAAATCATCGTGAATAAAGGTGGACTAATACGTCTCATCTATGGCTTCCCAACAATTAACTTATACATTTAGGTGTACAGAGAACAAACAGATTAAAGACAGAGATTGAATAGACTTGTACACAATATGTATACGTTTATTCTCTTTTTTTTTTTTTTTTGCTTTGTATGTATACGTTTATTCAAAATAGAGACTCAGATAAGTACACATGTTCACAAGGCAGAGCTCGAATCTGAGTCAGTTTCAGCATAACCAACAAACTCTAACCGCTCTCTAACAACTCTTCAAATCCATAACCGGTTTTCTGACATTTGTATCAGACCATATCCAACTCACACTTCACTGGTTTAGTTCAATACTGAAAACAATCAACAATAAATAGGTATTAACTAATAATTTAGATGTAACTTAACATAATATTTTTACTGCACTTAAATTTATTTCATAATTCCATTGAAAAGATGATACCAAAATGAATGATTGAGTCAAATTTCAAAATACTTTCTACATGATTGTCTTAGTATTGTGATATATGACGAGGATCGTTCGATATAAAAAAAAAAAGTTATATACGAAGAGGAATAGTCATGGAAATTAGGATTCTATATCATCTGATATACATATACACGTTTTTACTAAAAACAAGAGAAACACAAATTGAAGTTGGGTCCACGTGGAGCCAACTCAACAAACACAAGGTTTTGTGATTTTGTTCTTGTTTGCCTTTTAACGGAAAACGACAAATAGTCGACACGTATTTTCTCGCCTCCCACACGTGCGAGTCCTTTTTGTCTCTACACTCCATCATGTTGTCTTTTCTGTCTCACTATCACTTTCATTCACTGAATCACTCCCACTTACATGTTAGAAACACTCGTGTGACTTCTTCTTTAACCTTTTAGATTTTGATAATGCAAAATTGATTCTCCATTTTCCACTCAAGAAAGACCATTATCTTCTTTTGATCCAAATGGGTAATCTGTTCTTCATATGCACTGTCGGAAAATTTATAATTGTATCTTCTTCTGCAATCCATCTGCATATCATAATCACCAGCAAATTTCTAAATAAGTCACTCTGTCGACCTATTATGTTAAAAATTTAAGGTAGTTATTCGAAGAAAGACCGATAAATCTGATTTCGGTTGCTTATCAAAAATAGTAGTGTTATTAATTGTTATACAAAGTTCGTTAGTCTTTGATAATATGGATTTAGATCTGAATGTTAATTGCTAGCTATAAATTATCCGAGAGCAAAATTTTCCACTTTTGTCTTTTAAGAACTGAGTCCAACTTGTCAGAAAGAGATGAGACTTATTTGGTCCTAACGTGCCATTTTGTCTAAAGCATAGAGCACTTGCCACACCCTATCTTTTTGTTATCAAAATTAAATATTTACAATAAATATGAATAATTTTATAAGAATATAATGTAATTAATTGAATACCTGAAGCGAGTGACAAGATGGTGAAGGAAAATTGAAGTTTCAAGACGGGCCAAATCGAGACCAGGGCACAATCTCTGACCACCACCAAAAGGACTGAAACTACTCTTGTTCATGTCCCTTTCCTATATATTGCATAAAAAACGTACATATAATGAACTGTACAATTCTTCTTAAATATTTGATCATGTATAAAATATATTTGAGATTTCTTACTTGCCATCTCCAGGGATTGAATTTGTAGGGAGAGTCATAATAAAGTTTATCAAGATGGACTGATCTGAGATAAGCCAAGAAGCACCATCCTTTTGGTATCACGTAACCTTTTATTTCAACATCTTTCATTGCTTTTCGCATCACTCCAACTATAACATTTCCCATTCTCAGTGTCTCTGTAACGACCTGATGATAATTGGCAATTAAAAATGTATTTAATGATTTATTAGCCTTTTCACAAGATAACTATTCATAAAATTAACTCAGGGACAAGGAGAATATATATACCTTTTGTGTAAAAGGTAATGACAAATAGTCATTCCAATATAGTGGCTCTCCTCTCAATTCTTTCAATCTTTTCAGCTCCATGTTTTCTTCCTGATAATTCAAAATTTTATAAAGTAAGAAGATATTAAATATAATAAAATGAAAAAAAAAAGAAGAGCTAATAGTTTTTCGTGGCAATCATATATCCACGATTAATATCAGCTTCCAATTCATCATTTTTTTAAAATGAGTGATTTGTTTTTCGCTGTTGTGAAAGAGAGAAAAGCCTATCACTATAGCATAAACATTTTTTGTCATGTCTAGAGAATTTTATACCGGATTCCATGTTATTTTTTATACTTATGGCCATCCTGTGAAATCTAAGGAACAAAATTCGCATATAATTTTAAAATCGAAATTTAGCTTTAACGGTTTAAGTTAATTACCGTCAGAAAATGAAGAGCACTAGGTAAATCGGAGAGAAATTTGACGGCGAGAGTGATGAGGACGGGGACAGAGTCGTGGCCGGGAATCATCATGTCAATCATATTGTTAGCAATCACATTGTGAGTTAAATTGTTACTTGAGTTCTTAAGCAACACATCCACAACATCTTTTGCAATAACACCATCGTCTTCTTCTTTGTTTTTTGCTCTCCTAATTTTGCCTTCTATGATTCTTTCAACTTGCTTCACCATCTTCTTCTTAGCTTGGAGCGATCTATGAAGTTGAGTTCCAGGCAAATTAATTGGTAATGACATAAGTCCTGAGATGAAATTTTCAAACTCTTCCTTTAACTCTTCTAACTCTTCTCCTTTCTCAACACTTATCAATGCCTTTGCAAGTACTTTGAATGCAACCTACCAATCAAAATAATATAATTAATTACATGTGAGAATACAACTAAAAGGGTAATAATATGTTAAACCAAAAAAAAAAGAGAAACTTGTAATCATCATATCAAATGTAATTATTGCAACCATGTTCTTTAAAATAAATTAATGTTCCATTGTAACACATCATTATGATTGTCCCCTTTTTTATTTCTCAATCAATGCATGGACCAACATATATATATATATATATACGTATATATGAAACTTTAGAAAATAAATACTCCTATTAATTAAGGGAAGAGTATACTAACCGTTTTGGAGACATCTTGGAGGAGAACAGGTTTGTCCTCGGACCATAGATCCATGGATTGCGACAAAAACTTGTGCATGTCTCTAACAATTTGAGCTTTGAGAAGTGGTGACTTTAAGAACGAACCGACTAGTCCATGGAATCGTCTGTGTAAACTCCCGTTTATCAGAAGTATCGACGATTTCCCCATTAGCTCCCTCACCGTTTTCGGGTAGAACGGCACGAACGCCGTCGAGTCGCTTTGTAAAACGGTTTTGTTCACTTCTGCGTCCGTCGACACGATCGTAGCCGTTCCAAATATATGCGACTTAAACACTCTCCCATACCTTTTACACATATAAAAACACATTTATAGATTCTATCGAACACTAAATTAAGTCCTAAGATGGACTTTCCCATAAGACTTGGTATATCCTCCGATTATTAAAAAAAAAAAAAAAACAAAACAAAAACAAAACTCTAAGGTTCATTCGCTCTCAAATTCTAATTTTTTTCCAAAAAGTTTTTGAATATGTTTATGAATGGGGCTTATTTTTCATTAAGAGTATTAAATTTAAGTTTGGTTAAAATTTTGTAGATATACTGTGAACGTTGGTGTAGAGAGATGGTGAAAAGTTCTTACATAAGTCGACGCTTGTCCATGAAACTCTCGGGATGGTCTGAGTAAGCAGAAGAGACGAACTCGATGGTTTCTCCGAGGACAGGCCATCCCAAGCTTCCCTGTGGAAACTTTGGTCCGTGACACTGAGTAAGAACATTATGATCATTAAGTTTTTTCTTAGAGGCTGAGGATGATCTGAGACCGTTGATCTTGTGGAATAAGATGATTATGATGATGAGAAAGAAGAAGAAGTAGAATAGCAAAAGTGATGAAGAAGTGTCCATTAGTGTTTTAACTAAGCCGCACGCACACGAATGGGTTTGTGTTTTTTTTAAAATTGGTTTTTGTTTTTGGGACTTTCTTCCACTTTGAATCTGTCCTGGTATCTCTTTATATAACTTTAATAATGCTGCGGTGTGACAACAAATCATGTGGTTGATAATTTTTATTTATTTTATCTTTGATTTTTAAGTAATATATAACTTTATACTTCAAACGGTTTAAGTCTAAATGTGATAATGCAAAATTAAGTATATAACTGGTACGATATTACATCACTGCACTCTCAATCTTGATCTTAATTAATTTCTTCTTCTTCTTTTTTTATTGATCTTGATTTTGGTAACACCTAATTTCCAATACGGCAGCTCAACTAACAAAAAACATACAGAAACATAAATAAAGTAGTTGAAAAGAAGAATAAATAAAACTTGGCGCAAAGATCAAATAAAAGAAAAAACATAATAATTTGTATCTTCTATATTGTAATCTTTTTTCTTAAGATTATGGTGTCCGGCTTAATTAAGTTACTTTTACAAGACAGAAAATAATATGGACTTGGGCAAACGAAGAAATTATTTCTTTTGATCAAGCTGGCGCATGTATATGGATAATTTGAGCCAAACAAATATCAACTATTTTGTTTAAAAAGTTAGTTATTTGAAGAAGTAAGGCTTGTATAGAGAATATTTTTAGATAGAAGATAGAGAGAGAATATATCGAAGAAAAGTGTGCTAATTGTCTTTTGGCTTGTGGGGTATTTTGGGTGCGCCTTCGTGCGAAACTCCATTAGGCCACTTTTCTTATTTCACATATATTTACACATTTTTTGTCATGGTCGTACTGGATACATGCATGCCCATATGAATCATGTATGCGCAAATTAAGATATGCATGATAATACATTTATAGTATTGTATGTATGCCAATACGTGACTAGTATTGTGAGTCATTTGATCAGTTGTACTTTAAAAGCAGTCGACTCAATGATATTTTAAATTACAATATAGATATTTGTAGTATCTTATATATAATACAGTAGTGTTCTGCAAAAAGGAAAAAAAAATAGTATAATGTTAGGACGTTGCGAAGGACTTAAACGTATGCAGATTAGAACGGTTTCTTGAGATATTTGAAAAATTATGGATTCCTTTTGGATTGGTTCGTATGATATATCAGAAACCGGTGCCAATGTATTTCATGTCTTTATAATTGGAGATGTCCCAAAGCTTAGTTTAGTCGATAGAATTATGAGGCCGGACAGGGGCAGCATCTTACAAAACCAGAATCGATTTTGGACTGCATGCATTTATGTTAATCTTGGAATACGTTACGTAATCAAACGAAGCTCTACAAGAAAAGCAGCATGATACATATATTTAAGACCAATTCAATCTCCTCATGATTAGAGCACATGCGCACCTTCTCACTTTCATACAGTTTGTTCATGTATGAGAGGTATAATATATTAGAATCTAAGGAAGTGAGATTCTTTAGCCGCTTGACTAATGACTACTTTGATTATACAAACTTTGAGCCTAGAAAGCTAATCTTTAAATTATTATAACCTTTTGACTAATGCCAAACAATTAAATTTGCCATTCTCTTTTTAGTCACTTTATAAGATCGGTTTCCCAATAATATTAATTCTTTTGGGAAACCTATGATTCATTTAACATATCTGTAAACGCCATTTGAAAGCTTTTTATTCAAGCAATACCTAACACGGGAGCTATCTTATTACCATATGATCGTCACTTTAATTGTATATAGATTTTGATAAAGAAGATACCATACACATTAGTGCTTTGATCATATCTAATTATTGCATAAGTTCCTTTAATTTAAGGTCGTGCATCTTTGGAAATCCGAGAGGGTTTTTGAATAAAGTATTTGGAAGTTCTTATCTATAATTTACCTTTTTTATTTATTTTTAAAAAATGGAAAATTTTGGATCTGTATATTGCTTGCCCAAAAAAGTCTCAAAGATTGAGAAAAAAGCTCAAAAAATTTATGTGAGCCGTATGATATGCATATATTAATTCATGTTATTTATAATTTTGGGGAATTGTGGGGGTTGTTTTCATTTGGACCATATCTCCATGTGAAGAACCACTTGAAGTTAAAAACCGGAGAATAACTTTGCCCCATTTGATTTCGCAATCTCTAGGGTTTTGGATAGCCAAGAACATGATCCTTTGTCCTCTTTATGAAACTTATGCAAAACCACTAACGTCCCTTCGATATAATTTATGCTATCCTTTTTTTTAGTGAAATCTATCGAGAACAGAAATTTTAAGAAAACAATACAATGTTGTTAATTGGGAAATGTTTAAATTGAACAAACTCAAAAGAAATAAAATCTTTAAGTACACAATATTTTATTTTATGCCCACATGACCAGAGAGTCAGAGAACACAACATCAAGAATAGTTTTGTTCCAAAATCAAACTCAAATCAGTCATAAGCTAAATATCATCTTCACCATTGAGTAAGAGCATAATTTTGACCAGAACGAATTAAACTGTCTGATTATTGATTTCTCCTCCACCAATTTTTTTTTTTTTTTTGCCTTTGCGTTATTTTGCACCTTCGACATGCATTTGAAGGGGTCTCACTTGCTGTTGGTTCAATGGTAATGCTGGCTCATGTGACCCAAACTAGCTTTTTATCTACTACAGATCAATAAAACACAAGCAAAACGTATACAGTTAGATTAATGTCACAAAGGTGGGTCTCTGGTAAAAGACATTAATGTCATGCATTTCAAAAAATGGGGAACAAATTTCAACTTTAACCTTATGCAAAAGAATTGGTAAAACCTAGAGGGCCCTTAGGTAGGTGTCGACATTCGACAAGTTATATAACACACTACACTATATATAGAGGATATTCATGGACCACCAAATGCAAGTCTTAGGTCTTTTACATAGATGATTGGAATCATTTACTCAGCAGAAAAAAATGATATGTCAGTAAAAAAAAAGGGCACGGGAAAAAAACAAACCGCAATGCTGATCTAGATAGGCAATGACCCCTATTCACTGAGGAGTGAGTGAGATGAGAGGTAGTTGTAGGTGAAAGTGAGAAAGACAAACATAGATGACAAATTGACAATACCAGAAAGAGGAAAACCGACAAATAAAAATCTTTCTATAAAATAATTATGTATGATCTCTTTGGAAAACAACTTGGATTCGCTTCTTATTGCCCTCAACTACCCAAGAGCTATCAGACCATAATCTAGATAATAATCTAAAGTGTTTTCATGTCCAACTACAGTCCAAGACACATGAAATGGAGAATCTGCTTTACAATTCATCATGTAACATTGACCAGAAAAGAGTCCAGTAGATACATGATTGATTCTTCTAAGTTAAAGAATCAATAAGCTGTAACCAGCATCTAGCTAAAATGTTTTCAAAACGAAAACTCTTACTTAGTAATGGTTAGAAAATATCTAAGTATAGCCATCTAACAAATAAGAACGGATAACTCAAGAAAATGATCAATTAGATGTTTCTCCTGGAAGAATAAACTAAATACTCAGTGAATTGTTTTGAAAGACAGAATCCAAAATTGATCAAAAGGCTTTATACATAGAAGTCAATGCATCTATAACTCACATGAGAATTTTAAATTTTGCAAAGACGAACAGAAAGATTATAGAAGATTAGTTATCAGTATTAAGAGTTTGTTCAAGTGAAACTTTTTCATCAACTTGAGAAACACTTTTATATATACAAACCAATAAACAGAGTAACAACTTCTCTGACTAGCTCACCTATCTACCTTATCCATATAAACACATATACACACTAATAATCAGCTACCAGAAGCATTGATAGTAACATTTATAAAAAAGACAAATAAAGAAAGATAAAATCTTATGAAAATTACCATCATCAAACATAGACTCAAATATACCTTGCACTTTCTAATCTCCGATCAATAAGCCCTCTGGCCTGGTTTCTGTAAAGAAAAGGCCCAAAATTAAACGAATTAGCAAAACCCAAATTAGGCCCAAGAGGGCTGATACGACAAAGAAAAGTTAACGAAACCGGTTAAAATTAATAATGACAGACAAATAACAATATGCCGCGTGTATAAATGAACCGTCACCGCCTTATCGTTGGCGCTGTCTCAAAAGGAAGCAGATATTTCGAATCCAACTCAGGGAAAGGCCAAAAAAGAAGAGTAAGCTTCAAAAGAGGGAAAATGGTGATTTTATCGGCGAGCTCCACAGTGAGAGCTGCCTTGGATACACAACCTCGACTTCCTTACAACCCTAATGCGCCTCGGAAAGTGAAGAAAATCCCTAAAAGCAACTCTTTCTTACCGCCGCCTTCACCTCCTCCGCCGTCTCCGCGAATCACCATCTCCGTCGACGATTTGCTCAAGCGTCCCGCAAGTAAAGGTAATCGCTTTAAACTCGGGATTGATTCCATTGGCGATGCTTGATTAAGGAATTTTAGTGTGTGCTCTTATGGAATTGTGTAGTTTCGTATCGCTCTGGTATACGTTGAATATATCAAAAGCTCTCCTTTTTTTTCTTTCTCCGGTGATGGATAATATCAAAGACTTCTCAAATTTCCAATCCATGGTTCGGCTAGAGATGTTTACTAAACTGTGTGTTATGTATGTAGACTTGACTGATGACTTTGATGATACTTATATGGGATATGAGACATGGTCTCCAACTCCACCAAAGCTGGAGAAACCTAGATCGGTCTTCAATGCTGCCTCTTTAGCCTTTATAGGCGATTCCATTTACGAGGTTCGTTTTCCATTGCGCCCTGAGCTTTGTGCTTTCATGGCTTCTAAGCAAGTTTCATAGACTTCTATTGATTGGGATCACCAACTTTCATTCTAGAATTAGTTTCTCTTCTTGGAATTGTGTTACTCTTTCATGGAATATTACTATCTGAAACTTCATCAGTATCTTCTCTTGGTTTTGCAGCTATATGCTCGTAGGCATTTTCTTTTTCCTCCACTTAGTATTGAAGATTATAACGATCGTGTTAGAGCAGTGGTGCGCTGTGAAGCACAGGTTTGTTAACTTTTGACCTCCTCTGTTTTCTTAATTCAGTGTTTGCATAGCTATGATGCAATCTCCATTCTCAGAGAAGCAGGGTATTGTGCTTGCTCTGTTTCATGATTTATGTTTGTGCTAAATAGTTTTATATCTTTTATCTAGTTAGACCGTTGATACGAGAATTCATTACTTATTTAAATTGGTATCAGCATAAACGTCATCATTAGCAAATTTTATTTATCATAATACAACATTTCAGAAGCAACTTTCGAGTATTGTTTAAATCATTTTTCGTTGTTTGAACATATGTTAACTGCTAAGTTTTATCATCATCTTTGTCAGTATGCTTTGCTGAAGAAACTTGTTGATGATGATTTCCTAACAAAGGAAGAGAGGTCAGTACACGAAATCCCATTATTTCAGCATCAAGATTTTCTCTGCTGCCACTAGGATACGTGCCTGTGGTTGAGTTGAGATACACGATTTCACTTGTTTTTGGATTTTATCCATCTGATGAATTTGTATTTGCTCCAGGGATGTACTCAGGTGGGGAAAGAATCTAGGCTCGGTTAGAACACGTTCAAGAAGGCGTGCAGGTGTTGCAGTTTATAACAAAGCATCATCATTGGAAACACTGGTAAGTACCTGCAATAACCAAACTTACACTGTGTTCTTCTTTGTGCTTCTAACTCTGCTTGAAGGTAAAACCTTTTAATTGTCACTTGATTTGCATGATGCTAAACCCGCTTTCTCTGTTCACTTTCTAGATTGGTTATCTGTATCTGACGAACGGGAAAAGATTAGAAAAAATAATGCAGAAGCTAGGATTCTCAAGCGACTCTTCAACTGAGATAATAATTGAAGAAGCCAAGCCTAAACCATCAGAATCTAACCTGCCATCCTTTATACTCAGTGAGTTAGCTACTATCTCGTCCATTAAAATCGATTATAAACATCATTTAGTTGATATTCGCTGTACAGCGACACGAAAGTATAACTATCTTCTCCTTTTTGGTCCATTTGTAGATGAGCAAGTGTCACAATAATAGTAATAAAGACACGGCATCTAATTTGGAGGGCATTTTTTGCAGTGCATTTTCTAGTTTTGTTTTTTTTTGGATATTTTGTTCATGTATATGTAAACAAAGTTTGTAATTTGTTTAATAAGATATATTAATATCTGTAGGCTTTTTGGTAATGTTTGTGAACCTTTTATTAACAACTTTATTGAAAAGGTATATTAGAAAATAATTGTTATCTAGATTTATGTTGTAGAAGAAAAACAATATTGTAGATACATACATATATATATATATGTATGTATCTCTTTATGTATGAATGTGTTATTCATACTGGTTTTCAAATCAAAATGCCCACTTTTGTCTTCTGTTCCAACGATGATACATATCCTCATGGGTTGTTTTTAGTAAGTCTATCAATGTACTAACAAAGATATTCTATTTAAACAAAAACAATCAAAGATATGTAATATCTACAGCTATATTAGCTTTTTAATACAGGGTTTGTTATGTTTTCTAAATATCGCCTCACAAACTGAAGCATGATATTTTATTAAATTAAGAAATTTCAGCAAGTTGAGAAGTTGTTGAGTACTCGATTCATAGATATTATTAATAAAACATACATAATAAGTTGTAAATGTGAATTTGATCTAATTAAGCTAGGCAACATCCTTATCCAAAGATGAAAAGCAAAGCAATCTTCTAGTAGTCTAAAAAAATAATGCGACGGTAGACTAGATTCGATTGTCATTAGTGACTTTTCTTTATGAGTAGGCCTATTTTAGACTATCGGACCCATAAACGTCCAACAAAAACCTGTTACTATTGCAATGGATTACAATGGACCGACCAAATCAATCAATGTGACATACGCATATAAAAATATCACAGATTTTCTATCTTTCCTTAACTAACGAAGATAGGTATCCTTTTTATAATACCAGAATTAGATGGCATGAGCAAAGAAAACATACGAGCCAAAAATGGTAGATCAAGATTAAAAAAAATACACAAATTTTGGCTAAAAGATCTTAATTAAGATATTTCCCCTAAAACCCACCAAGGGCATGCATTGTCGTCTTCGTAGTTATTTGCTTGATTTATCGGATTCGTACCAAGGGACCGCAAAGAAGATAAAAGAACGAGATTGATGGGAATGGTTTTAAATTGAATATGTGGCAGTCTCGTTCGATATTTTCTCTTGTGAATAAGATTAAATCATATCAGGAACAAGAACAAACAAAAAAAAAAAGAAGAAGATAAAACATATCATATTTTTGTAGCTCCTATCTTTTACACTTAAATAGCCACCCATTTTCTTTGTAACGTCGATGCGTTCTTGTCCTATAACATTTGCACATTATCCCGTATATGTTCATGGGTCCTACAGACAAGGTTGACGTGTCATCATATCGTGCCACACTTATCACGGACCCTACGATTTCTTGCTTGCTTGTCATCCTAATCCCTCGCTCGTTAATACAATTCGGATGAGACTCAAAATTTGTTTCTGCCACGTATTTATATAACCAAAAGGATTTTCGTTACTTCTAGTTTTATTGATAGTTCTATTTTAGGAATGATTCTTCATTTTATTATCTCGGAAATTATGGAATGTACGATCTCGTAAAAGCGTATAGGATCATCATTCCTTTGTATTCTTATGTAGTTTTTTTAAAAATAAGTATATTTTAGAGAAATAAACACATCAAAAAAATATTATATGTCGATCGAGAAGGTGAAGAAGAAACGAGACCTCTCATATAAAGATAAGATAAGGCATTCGCTGAAAAGGAAAGCAAGAGCTTAAGCCGTCGAAATAAATGCCCACTCTCAAAGTATTTAGGAACCTCTCCTTGCTATATATGGATAAGCTTAATGAGGTGATTTACTCTATAGTTTCTATCTATATCATTTTCTCGATTGCGAGAGGTATCTCGATTCAATAAATATGCATAAGTGTGACGCTTACATTTTGAACTGGATCACAAAAAATCACAATTATACAAATATTATGCGATAGTAGAAATGATCGTCAATTAATTCAACTGCAAATTTAACTTGAGTAAAGTGTGATACAAACGTTGGATTTCATATAATCATATGTAAGAACTATTACAGATCAAGAACACACAAAAAGATTTCAATGCTTTTTGAGATTCTCGTTTGGTATATAATTGTCATTAAGCTGCAACATGCATGCATGCCTGTCCCCTGAGTAGAATCTACTACTGTATTAATTATTAGATGTGCCATCAATAAAATGAAAAAAAAAGTATTTGCAAGTGGTGGTGACCTGTGAGATCATAATTCAGTCAGAACACTGTGTAATTCAATTGGTTAAAAACCTACGCAAAATATACTTTATTGGATTTTAGAAAAATATACTCGAATTCCTTGTGATTGACTTATTAGTGGCAGAATAATTACATTCACGTTCTAATTATCAAGAGCACACGTGGTTTCTATATGATCCGCTGACTTATGGAATGTAAAAATTGTAAAGAAATGGTAAACCCGCTACTAATGGATCTTTAGTGACTCTTATGACTCATGACTATAGATTTGTTAAAAAGAAAAATTATTTATTTTACAGATAGCGAAAAGAAAAACATTTTATTTTACATACTCTAGGTATCTCAATGATCTAACGTTCCATAAAAACTGGATCAGAGATGATATAGGTACATGGATTTTATCTGATGAAGAGAAGACCGCATTATGATTGATTTAAAACCAGCATTTGTGTCAATTATTTTTGTTTCGATCACATGAATCCAGTTATCCAGGTCCATGGATCAAAGGTGCTGGTACGTCTAGTACTTGTTGAAAATATGACTAACTGGCCAAAAAAGTTTGCAGCCGTAATCAATTCTTAAAGATTGTGAAATACAACTATCTCAATATTACATTAACACTGCTAAAAATTATAACATTTTTTATTACTGTTGACTCTAGCTAGTTATTAAATATTTATGGACAACAGCTAATATGATGTAAATCTACACTAACGGAAGTACAGAAACGTGACCTTCGCGTTAGCTTCTATCTTTCTGGAGCTATATTATTATTTTCTCGTGGGTCTTTCAATAGCGAACTATTACTAGTAGTATTAAACAAAATTTAATTACTGCCTTGATTAATAAATCATTAGGAAATTAATTAGGAAATGATATAGGTTGAGAACCCATTGAATACAGCCCCACCCATGAGTCCATGACCCAGTACAGATTTTCAAGATCCACCGTAAGATCCGGAAACAAAAGTAAAGTCAAACAAATACAGTAAAGAGTAGATCTGTTTCTTCACGCGCCGAGCGTGAATGATAAAAGTGTGAGTGGGAAAGGAATAAACTATTGTCGGGAAAGAAGAGAAAGCAGAAGAAACTCGGATCGGAACGCGGAAACTGTTGTTGTCGTCGCAGTTAACGGGTTTGGTTTCTGATGACTCATTTTGTTTTTTGTTTATTCTCGAATTTATTTTGTTCCTCCTTTTATCTTCATTTTAATACGTGGATTTATATTTTGCTTGCCTACTACTTCTATACTCTGTAAGTCGAGAATTTTCTGATGACGACAAAGAATGGTTTTTGTTCAATGTAATCGATTGCGTTTTAACTTTAATGATGCTTTACAAACACGATATCTCCTTTTTCGACACCTTATCTCTTCGTTTAGAACAATTATTGTGTGTGTTTGCGTGTCTTTAATGTGTATATTATATACTTGTTTGAAACTAATCAGCAATAAAATTATAGTTTCACCATCTATTAATACGAAGACGACATGTCAACGAAATTTATGAAATTGCATAACCACAGCCAGCCATATATAGGTTGCACCATCGAATCTCGATTTCTCAGATGGCCCCAGCAATTGAAAATAATAGGATAATTCAATGTTTTTTACAAAACGACTTAATAATTAATATAAATGGCCATGTTATGCACGAATTAGCTGTTCGAAGATAACAATAAATTCGTCTTTTTAATGACAAACTAATTTAACAATTGTTTCACAGCATAACAAGATGAACTTTAGAGTCTTAAATATGTAATGGTTTTAGGTAGAGCAATGGAAAGAAATTAAATTCAAATTTCCAAAAGTTTGCATGTGTCTAGTGGTTGAGATAATTAGTAGTTGGATAATTATTGGTTTGATCTTTGATGTGTAAGTTACACTGTGTAACGAACCCTCCTACATATCTTACAAACCCGAAGATCTCAATGATAAATATCTATTCAAATTCCATTATTATAATAATTGATTTAAAAACTAATTAGGATCGTAAGACGTGAAAACACGCGCCAAGTGGCGCGAACTGGACAATGTTTTATAAGTATTGATTTAAGAATTTTCGTTTTTGCCAAGTTAAACGCCGGGAAAAAAATGTATAGGTTGTATTTAAATTAGAGAAGGAGAAAGTTGTTGTCCCTGTCAAGTGTCAACAAAAGAAAAAAAAAAGAAAAATTGTAATTAATATGTGTAGTTGTGGAGCAAACAAATCTATGTAAAATTTTCATTGTTCGTTGTCTTTTTCTTTTTTTTTTCACCGTATTATTCGGCCTCTCTGTCTTGTAAATGTCTAAGAATTTGTGGTGGCTAAACTTAACCCGTGACACTCTTGTAAGTATTGCAAGGTATTGGGCCACTACTACCACGCGAATAGAGGCGTCTCAATAGCACGTAGCATTTACGAAAAAGACAATCTTGTGATTATGGAGGAGTGGAGAACTATGATGTTTAATCTCGTACCAAATATAGCTTAACGAACAAAATATTTGTTTATTAGAAGTAGTCAAATCTGATAGTCGATTTACTATATGATTAGTATCTTTAAAATCGATAACCAAAGCCAGAACCGGAATTATAATTTGAAAAAGAAAACAGCATAGTCATTTGAATGTATTTTTAACCAATATAAACTGATAATACAAAAACTCCAAGTCTCATACTTAAAGTCATAGGAGTATATTGAACTAACATTATTTTTAGATATTTTTATTTTAATTTCAGCGATTCGTTTTTTATAGGGTTGAAAAACTAGTAGACTAGTAAGCTACAAATATTAATATTTCTTGTGGACATTCAATCATAAATGATCTTTTTCACATAATACTTCCGGGAATATATGAATTTTTGAAAATGTAATTAACCTTTGGGTGTTTAATTATTTCAATCAACAATGACAAAGGCCAAAAACACGGTGGGTCCCAAAAAGGTCTTT